GTGAAGCCGTGTCTTTTTGTTATAATTTTTTATTGGGAAAACCGTCAAATAGGTCCTCGAACTTTCATAAAAAGGTCAATTAAGTCCTTCTATAGTAGGTTCTGTCCGGCCGTCGGGATTTGGGGCAGTTCCCGGTGGAATTATTTGATGAAATTTTTTTAGCATCTTATTCACCAAGTCTAGTTTACTCATACCAAATTTCAGATAAAAATTCAATCGCAAACACATTCAATTTAATTCTTGAAGATAACTGCACATTTTTGCGTTCTCGAATTAATTTGAATGCTCTCCCGATTAAATTTTTAGCTGAAATTTGGTATGAGTAAACTAGACTTGATGAATAAGATGCTCAAAAAAATTCATCAAAAAATTCCATCGGGAACCGCCCCAAACCGCGACGACCGGACAGAGTTTCCTATAGAAGGACTTAATTGACTTTTTTATGAAAGTTCGAGGACCTATTTGACAGTTTTCCCTTTTTTATTTTCTCAATGGAGTAGCAAGAAGAACAACAAGATTATTAAACTAGACTACACAACACTGCGGGGTTAGCGATCTGTGGGGTTAAGCTCCTTTTTCTTTTATTTATGATTCGTTGATGAGTAGTGATTGATTATACTTTGAAGTTGGAACAATCTTTTATTCATATGGTTATTTGATGATCATTACATGTCTTTCTCATAAAGATAAGCAACCTTCAATTTGAGGTCTTAATTAGTGTAAATATAATGTTCAACTGTTCAAGGACAGTTTTAGTTTAATAGTTCATTCATTTCATTTTGCAAAGTATTATTTGTTAGGTCCAGTGACGAATCCAGAGATTTGTCAGAGCAGGGGCACACTAGACACTAAATAAACTTACTCTATAATAAAAATTTCAAATGTAATAAAGATGGTAAAAAGCAAGGCAATAGCATAAATTATACGGAGTAGTTAATTACATATTAAATAGTTCATCTCTGCAACTTTGGTAAATCAAGCCTACGAATTTTCATAATCTGAAAATGTTGCATAATAGTTTCATTATCAATACTCCTAAAAACATTTCTCTCGATAATCATCTTCCATCTTATTGCGAAGATCTGTCTTGATAATATTCATCGCAGAGAAGCCTCTTTCAACGGTGGCTGTTGCAACTGGTAATACTAAAGTCAACTCAATCAGACGATATACCAAGTGAAAAGAATTGTGAACTTTAAGCTCAACCATCTATTTGAAAACTTCACCAATAGTCTGTATGGCAGAAAATAATTCATTTGTTCTCATTTCATATATCCACACATGGAGTTGCTCTTTCATCCCATCCACTTTCTCTCAAATCATGAAATTTAGCTTTAGTGCTTTTAACTAAGCTCACAGCCTCGAGAATGTTTTGATCTTTTTGTTGCAAGAAATGTGACAATATATTCGTCAGCCCCAATACTTTGTCATCAAGTGAGCAATAAAAAAAAATGATAACTCTCCATCTTTTCTACCAAGTTACTAGCAGTGCCTCTCGATTTTAGATCAGTTCCATCATCAAATATATTATCAAGAACTTGAATGGTAGGAGACCACATAGAAAGAATACGAATAATGGTTGTATGATGTGAACCCCAGCGTGTAGCTCCCTGCCTAGCTAAACTACTTTCTTGATTCAATCCTCTCACAGTTGTAAGTTCACCCTTTTCTACCATCTCTACCATGGTTTCATGTTGTTTTTGCCGAAACTCGTCTTTTCTTTTACAAGAAGATCCTACCATGTTAGTAAATATGGACAAATATTCAAAAAAGTCACTCACAAACTTATTTTTTTGTGCAACGGACACAACAACTAATTGCAATTGGTGAGCAAAACAATGAATATATTTTGCATGTGGATTTTCATTCAAGATTAGAGTCTTCAATCCATTAAGCTCAACCGTAATTCATTCAAAACAATTGGCTACAACAACTAATTGCAATTGTGTATTAATAGATAATTTATATAACCGTAACATTTTAGTATCTTCATTGTCTAATACTAATAATTTTTTGTATGGGTTGAGGCACTAATTTTACGGTTTTACCTGAAGTAGTAATAGTGAAATTTTTGGCCGGAAGTAGGGACACCTATTTTACCCTAAGTACTAGTAGTGAAATTCCTGGCCGGAAGCCGGGGCACTTGCCCCGGTAGGCCCCGCCCTAGGTCCTCCACTGGTTAGGTCTATACAATACTAACGTTTTCCTAATTTGAATTTTGATAATTTACTACTACTTTCAAACTTTATTATCTCATATCTCACTTATGTGTGGACTCATAATTTTATTACATCTGCTTTGTATACAATGACAAAAGAACATATCAACTTTGAATATCACCTCATGACCATGTTTGTCAATTGATTGTAACTTGTGGTGAGTATATGAGCTTGGCCCCTGATCCATGTACTCGTGTCACTCCGGAGGTGGCTTAGTAGGCCGTCAAAGCTCGGTAAGCGACCAACCATGTACACTTGGTTGGTACTCAACAGAGCCGAGTGATTCAATAACATCTTGAATGAACCAGTGACAAACTTGATCCATCTGAGTATGACCCCCTTAGCCTGAACCCTACTTCCCGAGCCCTCGACTCATCCTCCTCGAGTAGCCAGTGGACAAATTTAATGCTCCAACATGTGCCTGCTTATGCCCTACTTGAGAGTTGCTCTATAGATTAACTTACACATATAAATACATTTAATGCATTTAGCACTTGTGGCTGATATAAATATTCATTAATGCAATACTTTCTTCTCCGTTACAACTTAGCTATCATGATTCGTACTATAAAGTTTCTTTGCATTAGCCTTTTTGTGATTAAAATATTAATCAAATCTCTATGGTTATCATTAAAAGTCACCCAAAATACACATATAGCCATATAGGTGTCACTTGATTCTATAAAGGAAAAAAACATACTCTATCTGTCTCTCAAAACTTTGTCAAGTTTGACTGACACAAGAAATAATTAGGTAAAAATTGTGTAGTTTAAGGCTTGTGCAGAAGAAAGAGAAATAATAGGAAGCATGAATTCATTTATAAAAAGAGAAAATGACAAAGTGTTAGGAACAACCTAAAAGGGAAAAATGACAAAATTATAAGGGGCGGAGGGAGTACTTATCTAATCCTGAATAGAAGTAATTTGTTTCTATAAGGAGAAAAAAGCTTATATACACTTATTTGTCCATTTCCTGTTGTTTTAGTTTTACACTAGTTTGAATTAATTTTTAGGGAAGACGGTTAAATAAGTCCACATACTTTGAACAAAGAGTCAATCAAGTTCGCGAAGTAATAATCCCGATTAATAGGCTTTATTCGATGTTCCCGTGTAATGGGCTTTATTTACTTAATTCGTTCTTGGGTCATGGTTGTGATGCATGGTACCATCACTCTATTTAAGTATGATTTAGTCTGATTTGAATTCGTCTGGTCTGTTAGGTGCCTTTTCGAATAAAAAGTACACATAAGATACATTGACATGCCAAAATGTGTAGTGTGAAATGGTGTAAAAATGTGAATGGAAATGATGTTTTAATTGGCTTGTAACGATATAGTATAGAGTAAGTGAGTATCGTTCCGCTAGAGAATGGCTCAAAAAGAGAACTAGAATTAATGATTGATTTTTAGCTAATCACAAATTGATAACATTTTGCAATGGAGCTAAGTGAACAGAGTTTTTTATCTTGTTTTTATAAATGTGAAATTGCTAGGAAATAAAATAAATCATAATACTTGATAATTTAATAATTAATGATATAGCGAAAATTAGGCTTGGGCTAAGAGTAATTTTATTTTCATGTTCATAATAATAAAGATTTAACTGATTAACTTGGTTACTTTTAGGTGTGTGAAAGATTTTCAAATGGTAATCTTCTAATCGTTCCCACGACTTAGTTGATTACACTATCTTAAATTAATTCCGGTCCCGCGGTAATTTTATTAAGACAGTAAAAAGTACAAAATCAAATTATCCTAAATTCCTTAACACTTCCGTGTAGCAATTTAGTGGGTGAATTAACTAAATGGATTTTAATGAAATTTCACTCCCGTGATAATATTCATTTCCAATTATAATGTATTTAGCAGATTAGAACATTCAACCCAACACCCTAAAATTAACCAAGTAAGAGTTTTAACCAATTATTATCATATGAACATTAACAGTAAAATTTACATCTTGCCCAAGCCTAAACTAATTTAGTTACACATAATTATAGTAAACAAAATAAGAGTAAAATTCATGAAAGACATAATAAATTTAACAGATTAAAGAAATTAAAGTGAGTATTCTGATAAAAACCTGAAGGCATAAATAATGAACATGGATGAACTGGAACAGAAAAGATTGAAATCCTCAGATTAAGCTGGAACTGATTAACTTCGAACTGATATCTCCAAATGAACTTTATTGTTGAAATATATAGAACTGAAATTCTGGAATGGAAATTACAAACTGAAATTTTACAGAAAGTGTTCCTGAAAGAATCACTTTTATTTTATTGCTACTACTATGAACAAAGCTAAAGAAAGAAGGGGGAGATTTCTCTCCGAATTCGTGTCTCCTTTGCAGCTCCAAAATGGCTCTTTATATAGGCAACTTCAGAATAGCTTGAAGCACAAAAGTCATATGATGAAGATGATGATGGAATTGATTTCCTGTTGAAGAATAGTGCTATGGACTCATTTTTCTTCTTCCTCGCGGCGCCTGAAATGAAGTCTCTAGTGGAACTTTTGGCTTGTTGTTCAATGATGAAGATGGTACGTATGTAGATATTCAAATGTGTGGAAGAAACTAAAGGCCATCACTATTCATGGGTCCCTCTATATTTATTTCTTGAGTTTTGCTATAGGTACCCCAAAATGGGGTACCCCATTTGTCCCCCACCCTAATGGGTGGCCACAAATGGAGCAACTCATTTAAGTGGTGCCCCACTTAAATGAGTTGCTCCATTTGTGGCCACCCATTAGGGTGGGGGACAAATGGGGTACCCCATTTTGGGGTACCTTTCGAATTTTCCTTATTTCTTTACATCTTGAGAGTTGAGACTTGAGAGCTCTCAATTCATACGTATGGGTCTCTTTCAATATTCACAAATGAGTGAATAGTTTTGTCAGCCAAAGTTTTGGCTTCACTTCCGCCACTTGCTTAGTTTGGCCGGTTAATTGCTTGATCAGTTAACTGGTCATCAATTAACCGGTACATTTTATTGCGGACAGTCTGACTTATTCTGAAATGTATTTCGGGATTCTTGATAAAATATTCTGGAGTTAAAGTAAGGATCCGCTTCACCTTGATGATTTTTCCGTCTTCACTCGGGAGTAATATTTATTTCTTTTCAGAAATTAATATACGTCCCGAATTGTCCTGAAACTCAAAAATATACCAAAACAAGTGCAATACCTTAAAATGTCCAAGATGATAAAGATCAATCCTTTTTATTTAAAAATAAGAAATAAAGTATTAAAAGTGTGACAAAACAAGATCATAAATATGGTAAATTAGGAGTACATCAACTCCCCCATACTTAAGATTTTGCTTGTCCTCAAGCAAAAATATGTACATCTCACACAAGCAAACGAGCATGCAAAAATGAATTTCCAAATCATATGTGTAATCCTCAAATCATGCACACTTTACTTTCACTCCACCTGGTCAATCAAATTCCCTTGACTTGTCACAAAATAAGAGTAGTGAGAATCATAAAAATATTTTGCATATCATTTGAAACGTTTTGGTCAAATCTCAACTCTAACAAACACAAAGTGTGTGGTGTGAAGATGGAATGTAGCTTCATTTGTTCAATCATGCAAAATTATGCAAAATAAGATTTTCCTATCAACTTATTTCAGACAAAACACAATTAAGATCAATTAGGACTTTTACCATTGGGTTATAATAATGGGGTCTGTGGGATAGGCTTATGAACAAAGGGAATTAATGAGGAAACAAAAGAAATGAACTTGACATAAATTTAACAAATTTAGAGAGGTACTAAGTAGTGAGTAGGAGCATTTGACAATAACCTATACAACACTTGTTATTTTTAACAGTTAAGGGTAGTAAACTAGTAACTAGTAAAAAGAGTAAATTAATGTACAAAAAACAATATACAAAAGAGAGAAGCATATACATGGATAATTAGCCTTGTTTAGATTTTTTTTTTATTCTTTTTTTTTTTTTTTCATTTTCCTTTTTTTTCTGTTTTTTTTTTTTTTTGACTTTTTTTTTTCTTTTTTTTTCTTTTTGATTTTTTTGTTTTTTTTTCAAGGCTTTTTAGTGCTTCTAACAATAAGAATTTACAAGAACAATATGTACAATGATAATACAACAAGAACAACTACCCCATAAATGAATATTAACAACTATGTAATCACAAAAATGCAATTATTAAAGCTCCCTAAATGTGAATGACACTCTCTAAACTCATTAAAATTTATGCAAGTCATTTTAGGGTGGTTGGAAAGTGTTTGGCTTTTAGGCTAAGGGTCACATATAACAGGTTTTTATGAAAGAAAATAAGAAAAGCAGGGTTAAGCGTATAACGCTTATTAAAAAAAATGGCTCAAAGGGGGTGAACAAGGGATATTTATCACATGGGTAAGGCTAGGTATATGGGTTTATGAAAAATGGCCTATATCATTTCCTAATGTGCCAAGTCAGAAAATCATGTCAAGGAAAATAAAAGCACATAGCACTCTTGTTTTACACAATCTTAAACATATTGAACAACAGTTTCACTAGATAACCATTTACGTGCATGAGATGTTTTGTGTTTGTGCAAAGTTTAAAATTTGACCAAAATTTTACTCAACGCTCAAAAATTATGATTCTCAATCCAATTATTAAGAGACAAGTCCAGCCAACAATCCACATACCATGTGAAAGAATAGAATGCATGATTTGAAAGTTAAACAGATGATAAGGCAATTCACAAACAAACAAACATGCATATTCTCCCCCCACACTTAGGATTAAACATCGTCCTCGATGTGGCAAATATATACAGGGCGGGTGAGTAAATGGGTGGGAAAATAAAATTATTCAATGCAAACACACAAGCAAAACACACATTCAAATGAAAGTAAATAAACTTGGGTTGCCTCCCAAGAAGCGCTATTTTTAACGTCGTGTGCCCGACATTACCTGATTGGTTTACTCATACGGAGGATGATCCAGTCGAACAATGAGTTTCTTCTTTGCGTCCTCTCCTTGAGAATATTTCTTAACTCTTTGGCCACTGATAGCAATTTTCCTCCCTTCCTCCGTTTTTTCACTTCCTTCCCCTCGTGAAAGCTTTTACAACTCTCTTTCTTTTTTACACGGTCCACTAACTCTTCATCCTCGTGATCTTTTTCGACTTCCTCCACAACACAAACCTCCATAGGATCCTTGTGAAAGATTCTCGTGAAGTCTCTCACAGATTCATCAGCTATATCAATCCTCCAACAATCTTCCACACATGCAAGATTTTTCACCGTTTGGAAAATATTAAACTCAACCCTTTCATCCCCCACTTCAATTTTTAATGTACCCTTTTTAACATCAATGATGGCACCAGCAGTGGCTAAGAAAGGCCTTCCCAATATGACAGGTACTCGCTCATCTTCATCCATGTCTAGGACGACAAAGTCACAAGGGATGAAATATTTTCCAACCTGTACAGGAATGTCTTCAAGAATACCAACAGGGTACTTAACAGATCGGTCAGCAAGCTGAATGGTCATTGAAGTAGCTTTGGGAATACCAAGACTAAGGCGTTTGCTCATAGAATAAGGGATAAGGCTAACACTAGCCCCAAGGTCACATAAAGCTTTGTTGACCATGAACCCTCCAATTATGCATGGAATAGTAAAGCTACCTGGATCCTTCAATTTTTCTGGAAGTTTCCTTTGAATGATAGCACTGGATCCCTCGCTCATGGCTACGGTAGCTTTCTCCTCAAACTTCTTCTTGTTTGAAAGAATTTCCTTTAGAAATTTGGAATATGAAGGCATATGTTTTAGAGCATCAAGAAGTGGGATTGTTGTGTTGAGTTGACCGATCCATTTAAGGAATTTATCCCTCCTCTCATCAATTGTGTTTTTATTTGCTCTATGAGGAAATGGTAAAGGTGGAACATATGGTTGTACTACCTTTTTCTTGCCTTCATGTGAGTGAGAATTCAGATCTTCTTCATTGTTCTCCTTTAGTGGTGAAGTCTCTTTTTCAGGTATCTTCTCTTTCTCAACTACAAGTGGTGGATCAGAAAGTTGTTTTCCACTCCTTGTAGTGATTGCACTAACATTCTCCCTAGGATGTTCAGAGTAGGCAGGCAACTTGCCTTGAGCTTTGCTAGTAGATGGTGAAGCAAAACTAGCAATCTGGCTCTCAAGCATTTTGTTGTGAGCTTGAATTTGATTGAGTTGAGCGGTGAGTTGAGAGAATTGATTAGTGATACCTTGCATCATTCTCTGGAAGTCATTAACTCCAACAAATTGTTGTTGTTGCTGAGGTGGTGGTGGTAATTGCTGTTGCGGTGGGTACCCTTGCTGATTTTGAAATCCAGGAGGTGTTGGTTTGGATGGATATGGTGAATTTGCTGCACCTGATGGGTTACTCCATGAAAATCCTGGATGTGTCTTCCCTTGAGGATTATAGTTTCCTTGATATGGTACTTGAGGTCTACCATATATAGCATCGGCTTGTTCTACTGTGGGGCCAGAAGGAACGTTTTGTGTAAGTTCTAGAAGATTGCATTCCTTAAAAGAATGCCCTCCTCCACAGAGTTCACAGAACAAAACTTGAGCTAAAGATGATGATGGATTTGTTGATGTGCTAGAAGTTGATGATGATTGCTTCTCAGTGAGCTTTTGGATCATGTTTGTGAGAGAATCAACCTTTGCTGTTAAAGCTGTTGTTTGGTCAACCTCATAAATTCCCGCTCCTAGCTTTTGAGTGGATCTTTCGGAATACCATGATGCACTGTTGTTGCAAATTTTCTCAAGCATCTCTTTTCCAGTTTGAGGATCAAGCTCCATGAAAGCTCCATTAGCAGAGGCATCCACAACAATTTTGGAATTATCATGTAATCCCTCATAAAATGAGACAATGAGATCACCCATGCTCATATTATGATGTGGATATTGAACTTGAAGATCTTTAAATCTCTTCCATGATTCATAAAGAGATTCTGATGGTTGTTGTCTGAATTGTTGGATCAGTTTCTTCATTTTTGATGCCTTAGAAGGAGGATAGAACTCCTTCATGAAATCTCTATGCAACTTCTCCCATGTGTTGAAATAACCGGATGGTTTATAGTTCAACCAACTCAATGCTTCATCCCTCAGTGAGAATGGGAACAATCTGAGTCTGATGGCATCAACAGAGGCTCCATTTAGTTTAAGAGTTTGGAGAACTCTCAAAAACTGTTTCACATGGCTCGTTGGATCTTCATTCTTTGATCCGCCAAATTTGTTGGCTGATACCAATGAGATAAGTGCTGGTTTGATCTCAAAATTCGCTGCATCCACGCCTGGATAGAGAATGCTATCTTGTTCCTCAATTTCACCTGCAACATAATCAAGAAGTCTTCTGCCTTGTTGTTGTTGTCTTATGTATTGCCCTTGACCTTGTTGATTTTGTGGGTGTTGGTAGTATTGGCCATATGGGTGAGGTTGGTATGGGTGCATAAATGGAGGAGGTGTGTAAGGATAAGGGTATGTGTATGGATATGGTGGAGGTTGGTTTTGGTGATTTTGGTAGTTTTGGTAGGGGTGTGGTGGATAAGGGTTGGGTTGTGTTAGAGGAGGAATTTGTTGGAAATTTTCAAATCCAGGGGGTCTTTGATCTCCAAAGAAAGGATTATGTCTATCTCTTGGAGTATCAATGGGTGTATTTATAGGGGTATTTTGTGGTGGCGTAGGATTTGGATTTGGATTTGAAATTTGGTTTTGGCTATTTGGATTATTGGGATTGTTGTGAAGGTCCTCCATGATCTGATTTGGAATTTTAAGTTCAAGGATTTGGGCCTTTCTTCTTTTCCTTAATTCTTTTTCAAAATCAAGGTTAAGTGGTTGCAATCCTTCACTCCCTTGAGAGCGAGTATGCATACCCTACTTTTTTTTTTTTACAATTGGAAACTAAAAACAAGTGATGATAACATGAAATAAAAACACTTAGTCTCCAAATAAATAAAAACAAACACTAATATTAACTAATAATCAATCAATAAAACTATGCCATTCCCCGGCAACGGCACCAAAATCGTGACATGCCAAAATGTGTAGTGTGAAATGGTGTAAAAATGTGAATGGAAATGATGTTTTAATTGGCTTGTAACGATATAGTATAGAGTAAGTGAGTATCGTTCCGCTAGAGAATGGCTCAAAAAGAGAACTAGAATTAATGATTGATTTTTAGCTAATCACAAATTGATAACATTTTGCAATGGAGCTAAGTGAACAGAGTTTTTTATCTTGTTTTTATAAATGAGAAATTGCTAGGAAATAAAATAAATCATAATACTTGATAATTTAATAATTAATGATATAGCGAAAATTAGGCTTGGGCTAAGAGTAATTTTATTTTCATGTTCATAATAATAAAGATTTAACTGATTAACTTGGTTACTTTTAGGTGTGTGAAAGATTTTCAAATGGTAATCTTCTAATCGTTCCCACGACTTAGTTGATTACACTATCTTAAATTAATTCCGCTCCCGCGGTAATTTTATTAAGACAGTAAAAAGTACAAAATCAAATTATCCTAAATTCCTTAACACTTCCGTGTAGCAATTTAGTGGGTGAATTAACTAAATGGATTTTAATGAAATTTCACTCCCGTGATAATATTCATTTCCAATTATAATGTATTTAGCAGATTAGAACATTCAACCCAACACCCTAAAATTAACCAAGTAAGAGTTTTAACCAATTATTATCATATGAACATTAACAGTAAAATTTACATCTTGCCCAAGCCTAAACTAATTTAGTTACACATAATTATAGTAAACAAAATAAGAGTAAAATTCATGAAAGACATAATAAATTTAACAGATTAAAGAAATTAAAGTGAGTATTCTGATAAAAACCTGAAGGCATAAATAATGAACATGGATGAACTGGAACAGAAAAGATTGAAATCCTCAGATTAAGCTGGAACTGATTAACTTCGAACTGATATCTCCAAATGAACTTTATTGTTGAAATATATAGAACTGAAATTCTGGAATGTAAATTACAAACTGAAATTTTACAGAAAGTGTTCCTGAAAGAATCACTTTTATTTTATTGCTACTACTATGAACAAAGCTAAAGAAAGAAGGGGGAGATTTCTCTCCGAATTCGTGTCTCCTTTGCAGCTCCAAAATGGCTCTTTATATAGGCAACTTCAGAATAGCTTGAAGCACAAAAGTCATATGATGAAGATGATGATGGAATTGAGTTCCTGTTGAAGAATAGTGCTATGGACTCATTTTTCTTCTTCCTCGCGGCGCCTGAAATGAAGTCTCTAGTGGAACTTTTGGCTTGTTGTTCAATGATGAAGATGGTACGTATGTAGATATTCAAATGTGTGGAAGAAACTAAAGGCCATCACTATTCATGGGTCCCTCTATATTTATTTCTTTACATCTTGAGAGTTGAGACTTGAGAGCTCTCAATTCATACGTATGGGTCTCTTTCAATATTCACAAATGAGTGAATAGTTTTGTCAGCCAAAGTTTTGGCTTCACTTCCGCCACATGCTTAGTTTGGCCGGTTAATTGCTTGATCAGTTAACTGGTCATCAATTAACCGGTACATTTTATTGCGGACAGTCTGACTTATTCTGAAATGTATTTCGGGATTCTTGATAAAATATTCTGGAGTTAAAGTAAGGATCCGCTTCACCTTGATGATTTTTCCGTCTTCACTCGGGAGTGATATTTATTTCTTTTCAGAAATTAATATACGTCCCGAATTGTCCTGAAACTCAAAAATATACCAAAACAAGTGCAATACCTTAAAATGTCCAAGATGATAAAGATCAATCCTTTTTATTTAAAAATAAGAAATAAAGTATTAAAAGTGTGACAAAACAAGATCATAAATATGGTAAATTAGGAGTACATCATACATGCATGCGAGCTCGTATACCGTGGTACCGGTATACCATGCGCATGGTATACTGGTACCAAATACGATACAATTTCTCTTTTCTTGAGAGCATTACGGATTTTCTTTTCCTTCAATCCACTATAGGTTTTCTCATCCTAGGAGCACTACGTATCTTTTACTTTGTTTTCTCTCAAGCCTCCAGGATTCTTTGTCTTTATTTTTTTATTTTCTTCAATTCTTGTCCCCTCTTCACCAAAAACTTAAAATTAATTGTAATTTTACTTATCTTTATCTTTAACTAATAAAATCACAATTGAAGTAACTTTTTTTCTTTACCAATGTATTACAAAATTTTGTTAATTAAATAAAGTAAGTATATTGTATTTCATAATTATATACTAATATGATTACTTTTTTCTTCAATTGAAATTACTACCAAATTTATTTGTTGTGTAATATTTTTTTTATACACTTTTTTGGTAAATACTTTTCATATAATATATTTCTATAATATATTTCTTATCACTTTGCAAAAAAAAAATATTTCTTTCTATTATGTATTTAGTGATTTCAAGACATTAAATTTGTTTATTTCAATTTAAATTTGATAAAATATGAAATTACATTTTTCACATGTGTGAGTTATGTTAATAAACAATTTTTGGAGTAACATTTGATAGTCTTTTTTGGAGTTGCATCTTCTTAAACACGTGTTACATCTTCTTATGCGCGAGTTACATCTTAAAAATGATATAGCTTTAAAAATCATTTTTTATCATTAGCAATGATTTATTTCATAGTGTAACTCGCGTACATTAAGATGTAACTCACGCATAAACAGATGTTACTCGCGCATAAGAAGATGTAACTTCACATAATATTAAATGTAAACAATGAAAATAAGGAATTTAATTGTTCAATTAATTTAAGTAAAGAGTGAATATGTTTGGTTTTTAAGATTAAGGCCATAAAAGGTTTTAAGAAAAATCATTTTCTTTTGCCAAAAAAAAATATTTTACAAAAAAGTTTTTGTTTTGTTTCAATAGCATTAGTTTATTTTGTGATGAAACTCGAGTTATGGAAACTATAACTCGCGTTGATGGAAAATTTAACTTAGGTGTATGCAAAATGTAACTTGTTGAGGCAAATTCAAATGTAACTCGCGCATAGGAAAATGTAGCTCATGCATAAACAAATGTAACTCGTGCACAAAAAGATGTAACTTCATATACTATCAAATGTAACTCTAGAAATTGTGTACAAACATTATTCACACATATGAAAAATGTAATCTCATGTTTTATCATATTTAAATTGAAATAAACAAACTTAATGTCTTAAAACCGTTACAAACATATAAAATAGATAAAAAAAAAAAAGTTTAAAAAAGTGTATGAATATGAAAAATATTTTGCAAAAAAATGTATAGATGTAAAAAATATTACACCAAAAATAAATTTGTAGTGCTTATTTTATGTGGATTGGGAAAATTTTGTATTAAATTGGTAAGGCAAAAAATTAATTCAATTTTAGTTTAATTAGTTAAAGATAAATACAAGAAAAAGCATAATTAGTTTTTAATATGTAGATAGAGAGAAGAAAATAATTGAAGAAACCAAAATAGAAAAATAAAGAGATAGTGCTCCAAAGAAATCTGGAAAGCTTAAGTCTTGAAGGAAAAGAAAGGAAAGAAACGTAGTGCTCCAGACTAAAAGAAGGGAAAACGGCGACGTATGTGGTACTGGTATACCATGTGCCTGGTATACCCGTACCACGGTATAATTTGCCCATGCATGCGGAGTACATTATAAGTTGTAACTTACGTGAAGAGTGGGCTTTTGATTATTCTTGAATGCCTACTGTGTAGTACTACGTACTCCTTCTGTCGCCTAAAATTTTGTCAACTTTCCTGTTTTGGATGTCCTACTAATTTTGTCATTTTCTCTTTTTAGTAAAGAACTTGTGGTTGGTTCCAGTTAATTCTCTCTCCTCTGTACAAACCTCAATCACATTATTTTTAGTTTATTAATACATGTGCCGTTCAAAATTGGTAAAGTTTTAACGGACTGAGCTAGTATATAACTTGAAAATGACACCTCTATGGTTAACGTTTTCAAGCTTCAATTCCATAGTTTCTTTTGAAAGGCGCTTATAAAAAGGTCCACTTTGAAAATGACACCTCCATTATTATTGCTTGACGAATTCAAGTTTGATTAATTAAGAAACTTTAATTCTCCATCAAATTTAATGTTCACATTTGTGAAAAAAACATTAAAAGAAATCAAAATTATTCCTCTCAGTATTAGTTTCCTTCACTGCCACTCTTCAAATATTACACAACACAACCCTCTCCATGTAGCTCTCCATGTAGCTCTCCTCAACATGTTGGCATAATTTTTATTCTAGTACCTCTCTTAGGATCATGGATGTGTCCATTATATAGTATGCATGTAATGAGAAAAATAACTGAAAGTTTTAATCATCATTAATGCATTAAATCTAAATTAATAACCATACATTGTAGAAAAGAAAAGTTGTTATATCTACACGGTTACACCCTCACGTTCAAAACTAAAACTTGATGTAAGATGAATAGACATAACTCCCATTTGAGTGTGCAACGTTAGGAAAATTCAGCCAAGTTCATTGATAATATTTTTTAATGTGAAGGGATACAATGGTTTTGAGTTATGATAAAATTTCCAACAAATACAATTAAAATCTTATTCATTTGAGATACCCCCAAATTTCCAACACTTTTTCACCCAACATGAAGACTTTCAATTTCGTGCGATGAATTGTTTAATAATAAGAAAATATGGTTAAAGTTACAATTATACATACATATATACACGAGTTTTTAGGAGACTGAGGCCCCTCCTCTCCACCATTGATCCATTGAGCAAACATTAAAAATCTATATTAGTACTTTTTAACGTTTTTCCGAGTACGAATTTACATAAAAAAAAATGTAGGGAAATAAAATACTCTATACACTAATGCTCTGTTTGTTGGGGGCTTAACTTAGGTTATTGCAGGTTTAGTTTTTAATCAACATCGTTTGTTTATATTTTTAGGACCATACGTTAGATAAAAAAATTATGAACAATGTTTACATTTTTAGGACAATAAGTTAGATAAAAAAACATGAACAACCAAGATCCAGGGGTAAACTGCGACTTTTAAAACAACAAAAGAGCTCATATGTGACGAATTGAATAATAAAGCTTTCTTAATAGTTAAGCCTCTTGAAAAGTAAGTCTTATTGTATGCCCAAGTGCATGGAGCTTTCCATGTTTATTGTATGAAAAGTAAGTCTTATTGTATGGACTTACTACGAAATGTTTTTACTTGGACTATAATTTGCTGGTCTGATAATGTCTAGTCTCTTTGTATTTTTATAAGTATTCAAGTCTGGCCTGATCTAGGTTGGTCTGAACTGGTCCAGTCTAGTATGGTCTGGTCTGATCAAGAACAGATTACAGTCCAAAGTAAAAACATTCTAGATCTGCCCCTGAGCCGAGTATATTTCTTTACTACGCCACTCAATTCAACTTGGATTCATTGTCAAACACATTTCCCTACTTTTTGAATATACTTCCCTTTGTCTTGAAAAAGATGACGAAATTTCGCGTAAAACTATCGGAGCATTAGTAGTCAATCTTATGCCCTTTGACGTTTGCTCAACTCTTGCGATAGCCTGAGCTAAGCTTTTTAATATACTATATGAAGCACTAGTATAATCTTTTCTGTTTAAGTAACTAATTGCTGATTATATAGGTTTATTGAGTGTTATTTGTGGACGGTGAGAGTATATTCCTTTGTAGTTGCGAACTTTTGTTGTTTGAAGTAGCCAATGAAATACCTTTCAAAAAAAAAAGTAGCCAATGAAATTATGAAAAGGTGGGTGTGCTTTTCACTATTTTCTTCCAGCAAGACTTGGACTTTCACTATGTACAAAAATTATATTGTACACAAAATTCATACACATTTATATATAATTGTTTGTGCACACAGAGGATGTGTGCATCTTTAGTTGTTCACGTACACAGGCAGCTTATGCAGCAACATAAGTGTATATATAATTGTGTGCGAAATGTGTACAAATTTTATGTACACAAAAAAATTGTTGTTTTAGATAATATGAAGTACATGTTTCGTATAAACTACACTATTGTTGTTTTCATGAGGCAGGCCATATCAGTATAGGTTGTGATGAGAAGATATTTTTGTCAAAATAATACGATTCAAATGGTCACTTTCGACACCACTACTATGCTAATTTATCAAATATATATAATCACTATGTATAAATATATTAAGAATGTCCCTTTTTTTCCATTGCTTTTAGGTCACTAAAATTAAATAAGTCAGCACTTCTTATGAAATTACTCTACAATGGAGTAAAATTAATGCGAATAATTCAAATTAAAATAAGAGTAATGTGCCATCACTGTTGTGTTTTGTGAATTAAGTAATATTAATTAGGGTATTAGTACTATCACATTAATGTCTTGTATTGTCAAAAATATGATAATATGTATGATTTCAACCCTTGCACCTTTGGCCAGTAGCCATATATGTGTACTTCGTATATAATAACAACGAGAGAATTAATATCATCAATAGATACAACAAATCAATTATATCAAGTGAAATTAAAGAGTCAAGTGTTACATGGTAGATATTCAATTTTCAGTTTCAATAATAAAGTGCCATCAATATTAAAGAGTATTTAGCAGTGGTGTAGCTACACAGAGACGAATTGAGAGATTGGAATTTTATGGATGAGTAGAAATTAAATTTCATGGAGGAATGACATTAACGGATATAGAGAGACAAATTGTCAAGACAATGTTTTGTCAACTTGTAGTTATTTACCAAATTACAAAGAAGCAGATAAAAGCATGTTCACTTCTAATTCTGTCTTTTCACTTAAAAGTGATTAAATTTAAGTATAAGATTGAGTTAGAAAACACATTAAATTATAAGAAGCACTTGCAATTTGCAAACACTCCCTTAGTGTTACTTACTCACCTTGTTTCATTTTAAGGTTTCTAGACATTACTCACACAGTACACTTAACTCAGTTTTAATATCTAATTCTACATAATAAGTTGTAGCGGTTTAAAATTTTTTGCGATTGAATAGAGCTTCTTACATAGTTTCTAAATATCTCTATCTAAATTATGAAAAGTGACCTATACATCATCCGCACAAATATCCTTGAAATGGAATGAAGGGAACATTTATATACTTAGGAACTAAACTATGAATTTTTTATTAATATAAATGGAATGTTGGTTCTCAACATATAAGAATAAAAATGAATAAAGTTGATGAGCGAATAGGAAAACTTAATTCAATTTGGCATCATGATATGTAACATCAAATCAAGAGCATATTTCAAAAAAAGATTCACAATATATCCAAAAAAAGAAAGTCGACATAACCACATAAATTATTCTCATAATTGAAAGTAACGAGTAGAAAACTTTGACACGTCAAAAATATATTTGAGAATAAAATTTGAAATATGAACCAAATAGGATTAAGGCATTGTGAGTGTCAAAATAGGACCTTGCTTTTTTGTGTCACTTGATAGTTGGTAGGAGTATAAGTGTGAATAGATGTCAAAGATGCCTTATTCGTAAAAGTTGTAGCCATTCGACCCCATTATAGTGTCATCCTAAGCCTAGAATATAATGTCATGATCAAGTTATAATTTCATTATCAAGCCAAAGTGTTGTCATCTAGTCATATTATCATAATTAAACAATAATGTCATTTTGGCTGCAAAATAAATGTCACCTTGATCCTCATTTTGTTGACATATTGATTTAGAAAATACAAATAAAATGCTACAGAAGAAACTGATGTGCAAAATTTGTCATAACTACCGAATGTTAGAAATTATACAAATGTGAAAGTTTTTGAATAGACACATATTGGTTCTAAAGTGGGAATAAAACATGAAGATTATTACACTAACAAATTTTGTGTGTTTTAGTTTTATACAGAACAATTTATTTTAGGACAAAAACTAGCAAGGGTATAATTAAGTCTATTAACTGGTTTCCTCCTACTGAACATGAGCCGGTCCTAGGGAAACCCTAGGCGGGCAAACTCCTTGACGATATATTCTTCTGGCTTGTTTGATGATTGCGATGTTCTCTGAATATTAATGAATCAAAGGTTTTGCTATGTTTTTCTTTTTTTTTCTATCTTTTCGGGTTTTTATTTTTGTTCAACATCTTATTTGGCCGAGAGTTATGTCCGCTTCATGTGAACTTGTGTTTTGTTCTTCTTCTAACAATGTTTAGAGACTGTGTCTTCCTCGTCAGTGTAATCGATCGAGTGGATCATAATTCATGGTTGACAAGACAAATTCAACCTAGTTCTTTTGAAGCTTCAATTACTCCTCCTCCTCCAGAACCACCGCCTAGAAGATAGTGCTTAACTGGATCTCCTTTTCGGTGGGTGGTCAAACTAATGATCCGACAATCTCTGCTCCATTGAGTTTTCTTTCTTGGTTGCTGGTCAAACCAATTCTCCATTTCTGGTGGCTGGTGAAGTCGTGTCTTTTTGTTATAATTTTTTATTTTCTCAATGGAGTAACGAGAAGAACAGCAAGATTGTTAAACTAGACTACACATCACTACGGGGTTAGAGATCTGGGAAAATTCATCGGATCTTTTCCGGTCTATGTCTCATCTCAGTGTAACCTTAGATGACTATTCATTCTGTTGTATCTTTGATATCTTTTAGTAATAAATTAGTTACTATTGTTTGTTTTTCAAAAAAACTGGTTTCCTGTCTCGGAGCCAACCAATGTAATAGTTCATGTTAACCGGACTTAGCCTCACCTCAAAAGGCCACAAATACCCCTATTTTGTCAATTTCAATCCATGTATCTCTAACAACCGAGAGTTACATTAATAAATATGGCAGATACAAGACATGGAAGCCCGCGTGGGTGTCTCCTGCAAATATGATCAGAAACGTACACATCGCATCCTTGGTAGGCCGACAGCCTGCTTCGTTGCCAACCCCTCATGGTACAACACAAACAGCCCCACCCCACCCTTTCCAGCTTTAGCATCTTTCTGTTTGCCGCTTTCATTTTGTCCTCGGAACTCAACCATATTCCGATGCTTCAAAGGTGACAAATGTGTTTGTCAGCGCACCGCATTAGTTCAGCCAATTGGGGAAAACCAGGCCCTGCATTCAATTCCTCTTCTTCTCTTTTTCTTCTGTTTTTCACGTTTTTCTTTGCTGACCCTTTTTGCTCACACAAAGCAATTCATGTTTGGTTGCCATTATTCAACACCACGTTTACAGGTTGCCGGCCTACCCTTTTCTGATTTCTTTTTTCCTCAGTTGCTTATATTGACCACCAACTAACAGTCTTAACAGCTCTTTTTCTTTATAAGCTTGACCTTTCTCTCCTTTCCGCAGATCCTACCTGTTTCCTGTCCTATAAATAAAACCCGCCATCAAGATTCTAGATCCAAGGAAGGAGAAGTTTGGGATTTGAAATTTGGGAGGAAGAAAGATTGATTCTTTAATAAGAAAAAGGCCTCTGAGATGGAGAACTCCAAATGGGCAGTGATATCACCATTCATCCCATATTTGATCTCCTTTTTAGCTCTTGTCCTTCTTCATGAACAGATATCTTACCTTAAGAAGAAGCGGTTTCTTCCCGGGCCGGCGTTGGTGTTCCCGTTCATCGGAAGTGTGATCACGCTGGTCACCAATCCGACCAAGTTCTGGGATGTCCAGTCGTCTCTTGCGAAGGCAAGTGGCCATGGCATTTCAGTGAATTACATCATCGGCCGCTTCATTCTTTACATCCATTCAACAGACCTCTCCCACAAGGTGTTCTCCAATGTCCGGCCAGATGCTTTCCACCTCATTGGCCACCCATTCGGGAAGAAGCTCTTCGGCGAGCATAACTTAATCTATATGTTCGGTCAGGAACACAAAGACCTCCGCCGCAGAATCGCCCCCAACTTCACCCCCAAAGCGCTGGCAACCTACACGAGTATTCAACAGAGGATTATTATCAAACACCTGGCGTCCTGGCTGGAGATGTCTTCCAATGCGCCGTCCCAGCCGATCCCACTCCGCATTCTGTGCCGAGACATGAACCTGGAAACTTCCCAGACTGTTTTCGCAGGGATGTATTTAAGCGGGGAGGCGCGGCGGAGGTTCAATGTGGACTACAACTACTTCAATGTCGGATTGATGAAACTTCCGATCGACCTGCCGGGTTTCGCTTTCAGAAACGCGAGGCTGGCGGTGGACAGGCTGGTGGACACGCTTTCGGTGTGCGCCGAGCAGAGTCAGAGGAAGATGGAAAAGGGAGAAGAAGCTACTTGCCTCATCGATTTCTGGATGCAAGACGCTATAAGGGAAACCAATGAGGCGAAGGAGAACGGCGGCGATGTGGGTCTCGGCTATAGCCACCGGGAGATCGGCGGGCATCTATTCGACTTCCTCTTCGCCGCTCAAGACGCTTCCACTTCGGCCCTGGTGTGGGCGGTGGCGCTCTTGGAATCTCATCCGGATGTTCTCGAGAGAGTCAGAACAGAAGTGAAGAGATATTGGTCGCCGGAATCGGATCAGCCAATCGGCGCGGAGCAGCTCAGGGAAATGAGGTACGTGGAGGCGGTGGCGCGTGAGATTATTCGGTTCAGAACTCCGGCGACATTGGTGCCGCATATCGCCGGAGACGATTACCGGTTGACGGAGAATTATGTTATTCCCAAGGGAACCATTGTATTCCCGTCGGTATTTGATTCGTCGTTTCAGGGGTTTCCAGAACCGGAAAAATTCGACCCGGACCGGTTTATGGACGAAAGGCAAGAGGACCGGGTTTATAGGAGGAACTTTCTGGCATTTGGGGCTGGCCCCCACCAGTGTGTGGGCCAAAAGTATGCGATCAACCATCTGATACTCTTCATAGCAGTGTTTACGGCTACGATTGATTTCAAGCGTCACCGAACGGACGGCTGCGATGAGATTGCCTATGTCCCCACCATTGCTCCCAAGGACGACTGCGCAGTCTATCTCTCCCTGAGATGTCCCAAATTTCCTTCCCTGTCTTGACACTTTATGCCCTTGGCAATCCAATCCTTTATTGATCAACATTTGACGATCTTTAAACTTTTAAATCTATTCTGGATTATAGTTATCGTTTTCAACGCTCCATTTTTCTTTAATTTATGAGTGATGGATGAGTTGTGATTGATTATACATGTGAGGCTGTAACAATGTTTTAATCAAAAGGTTCTTTGGAATGAAAACAAATTCCTCATTTTTTATCTTTATATTTGTGCAAGATTTGCACGGATAATCATGATGATTTGATGATTATTATAGGAGGAAGCGGTCCAGCCCAACTAGTCGCCGACTCACTCTCCCTTACGAAAGGTCTCAGATTCAAAACTTAATGGAATGAGCTTCAATATTGGGTATGTTTGGCAAATGGCTGTTAGCTGTTGTTGTTAGTTGGTTGTGTCAGCTGTTTCCTAACAGCTGGTTGTGTTAGCTGTTTTGACCGACTGGTTATGTTAGCTGATTATAGATAACTGTTTGGTAAAATTGGTTGTTTTGAAATGGCTGATAGAGTGTAAATTGAACCAGCCAAACGAATAAGCTGCCCCCCTTAGCTTCTTCAACAATCCATTTTTTCAGCTTTTCAAACTCAACAAGCTAATTTTAAAAGCCATTTACCAAACATCATTATTAGCTTCTTTGACCAATCAAACAATTGAAATGGGTCAAACAAGCTAAAAGCCGGATGATAAGCCATTTGCCAAACATACCCATTGATTACTCCATGTCCCCCAGACGCCCCTGGAATAAAAAGAAAGAAAATGACATTGTTTTGATTTTTATTACCGATACGCTATTGATTTTATTAATGATTATTACCGATGTTTCTAATAAAGATAAGCAACCTTTAATTAGATGTTTTAATACGTGTGAATGTTTACGATAGTTTTAGTTTAATAGTTCATTCAATTCGTTATTTAAGGTACATTTTTGTCAACTTTATAAAGCATTAACATTTTCTTAATTTGAATTTTGATAACTCACTACTTCTTTCAGACTATATTATTTCATGTGTCACTTGTGTGGACTGCGGATCCCTTAAGGGTCTGTTTGCAACAGCTTCTGCTTTTAAAAAAGTGTTTTTTTTTTATGAAATGAGAAGAAGTGATTAAATAAAAGTTGATAGTGTTTAAGAAAAAAGTGATTTTGAAAAGTAAAAGTGGGTAGTGTTTAGTAAAAATACGTGCTTTTTGTGTAATAGAAAAAGTAAAAGCACTTTTGACGCGGATCGGAAGTCGAGAAAAATAAAAGTTGTAGTGTTTGGGAAAATAATTGTTTTTTTAAAGCCAAAAGCTGAGAAGTGCTTGTATACAATGAAAAGGAACTTAGAATCAACCTACGTTATGACCTCAAACCCTTGTTTGTCAATTGGCTATATTTTTATTAACTTAAATATAGAGTTTACCATGTCTCTGCCTTAGCTTATGTGAATAAAAAAATAATCAAATCTCCATCTGTTATAGTTAGTCAAAAAGGAAATTACCTACATGAGACTAAAAGCCATAAAAAATGCATGTATAGGGTTCCTTATAGGAAAACACTTTTAATAAGGACAACTAGGTTCTATAAAGAGAAAAAACATACTCCGCACTTACCCAATCTTAAAAAAACATACTCCGCATTTATTCAGGTTTCTTTAATTTGTTGGTCTGGTCTGATTTGGTTCGGTCTGGGACTGAAAGCAATCTAAAGAAAGCATTCTAATGTATTTCTATAAGGAGAAAAAGTACATCCACATACACTCTTGTTTGTGCATTCCTTATTGTTTTGATCTTATATGAGATGATTTCTATTGTATATACACACAACACACTGAAATAACATATTTTGTAAATTTCAAAATCACGTGTCTGTTATGATTTAATAAGCAAATAATTGAATTAATCAAAATTAACAAACTATTAATAAAAAAAGATGGAAAGCAACTAATAATTGGAGAGAACAATTATATATATATATATATATATATATATATATGACTAAAATACTATTTTGTTTACAAAAATATGACACATTATATTAGTAACTTAATCATAATAACTTACGTTCAATTTGTACACTTTAGCAACTATGACATTATACTAAAATAACTATCAACCATATTTTGTAAATAACTTTGATTTCAGTAATATTTTCAAAAAAAATCTCAAACAATAATTGTGATCTGCTTCTTATAGAAAAGTACACAAATTATATAAAAATACTAATCACTTTTTTGTTATTCGATAATTAAACTTGTTCTCTGAAGTGTTCTGCGAATGATTAATTGTGGCACATCATAGTCTGATTGGCGTATATTTCAAACCAAAATAAGCTGATGCATATAATTTATAGCGAACAGATCCAGCGTAACATATTTAGTCAGACAAATACAAGTACGTAGGATATTACATTAATTTTTCTTAATATATTTCAAGTTTTGTATACACCCAAATATTCCATTTTAATGACTAATTCAAATAAGAATAACTAGTCACCCCGTGCGTTGCACGGATAAATGATAATTTTTTATATAAAAAATCATTTCATAACTAATGTGCATTACATATTTATTGTATAATATTAAAATATGATATAGAATTGTATTAAAGTACATGCAATGTATGCTAATTTCTAGAGATACACCAATTAACATAAAATTAGCAAATATGCATTCGTCCGTCCTCAATTTATTTTGTCTAATATTTATGAAAAATCATTTCAGTTTTTATGAATAATAAAACTAAGTTTGAAGTTCATTGTGCGTGCTTTACAGTTTCTAAATACGGTCTATCAGGAAGTAGAAATATTTATTCTATAATATACCTCTTCATCTATCTCACCATATGTGCCATAAAGAATACAAATGTAAAGATTATTATAATTTTTTGAAAGACTAATATAATTAAGTATAAACCACGGAGTTTAAAAGTATCTAGACAATAAAGAATCAATGTATATTGATCACACTTTTTTCATAAACGGACGTAGTCATTCCAGTACTTAAGAAAGAAGACATGAACTTATATTTTTTGTTTGCATTTATGTCTTCATGTGGTTTATATAATACTTTTACCTTGAATTTTTTAAATTACACTATCAAAATTTCACACAATAATATTATAAGAAAATATATACTTCAGATATCTTCTTAATCGGGATATTATAAGTAAATTCTAAGGTATCTCCAAGATACTTTACTTAATCGGGATGGGCTAATTACAACTAGTAAAGAATTAGATAATTTAAACATGAATAAATAATAATAATTATTTGGACCAACCATGAGAGATATGGTACCCTAAATTATTAGTGGTGTGTCTTAGCTTTCATTGGTTTAAAATTACTCAACGCTTGGGACATTGTGTCAGTCATGTTTTAGATAGACTTAAGAAAACTAGTTCTATTTTAAGTATTTCTACTTTTTCTCACGATTGTATTTCTTATCAATTAGAAAAATCTCAACGAATACCCTTTCACCAAATTGACATAAATCAATTTTTCCTTTATTTTTAATACATCTTGATGTTTGGCAATGAGTTTGAGGAAACATTATAATTTTTATTTAATTGATAACAAGAGTACGTACATAATTGTGCTCAAGTGTTTTTTTTTTTTGATTCATGATTGTTGGGACCAAATTGTATCAGATGTTGGCTTGGGCCAGTCCGCCCAAGCATGAGGCGAAGCCCACCGGGACTGCTAAATAATATACCTATCGGTTAAGAGTCTGTTAGCCCATTATATCAGTTCGAAATGGAGATAAGGGCGTGGAATACTTCAAGGGATAAGATCTACAGCACGTGGAGAGGAAATAGGCTAGCGGCTCCTATTCTTGGGGAAGAAGTTGATTTAATTTAATAAATAGATTAGTTCACCTCCAAAGAGAGGGCATTACTTCGAATTACAATTGCAATTACGTTGCCAAGATCTGCGTATTACTCCATAAACTGTACTCAAGCTCTCGGCTAAACAAAAAGCCTAATAATACATATTTCTTCTTCTTCACTTTGATTAGCCATTATTCGATTCTTAATTGCTTGATTCCCAAAACAATTTTATTCTAGAGTAGATTATTTCTTGTTCAAACAATTGGCGCCGTCTGTGGGAAATTCTTGCAAAACGAGAATCAAATATGACCGGAAGCTCTAATCCCTTGTTCGATGAAATTCAAACACAACTTGAAGCCGTTCGAGAGGAGCTCCGCGCGGCCAAAAGTGCTGAAGCGGCACAATTGGAAGCTGTCCGGGAAGAGTTACGTGCGGCCAAGGAGGCCAATCAGTCGAAGGAAGATGCTCAAACCCAGTTTGAAGCCGTAAGAGAGGAGATGCGTCAACGAATAGCTCTTCTCCAAGGAGAAAACGACGCCTTGAGATCCCAGGTTCAGTCGGTGGTGTCCATTGCATCAAACTCGCAAAAAGGGAAAGAGGCGATGACTGCCGCATCAAAGTTGGACATGGACTCCATACCAGTCTCAACGTCGACAATTACGTTCGCATCCGAGGTTTTCTCGGGACTTTCAGATTTTGATCCGTACGCTAAAGGTTCCCCGGTGATCTCACAGCTCATACCCTATGAGCCTCTTGTCCCAACGACGACTCCAGAAGCAAGCATCCCCATGTGCTTCTTCCCGGATCTGTTGCAAACCAAAACGACGACATCAGGATTGCAGACTGTCCACCAGCAGATGCCGATTCCAACCACTATGTCTACATCAACAGAGCCTCTCGTTCCCCATCCGGAATTAGGCACGTCAGGAGAGGCAGGACCATCGTTTCGTCCTGCACCACTTCTGAACCCCAGAAGGAACGTCTTCCGCAATTTGTTTACTGAACATCCGAGACGACATGTTCCCGGACGTGACAACACGACTGAGGTCGTCGACATCAACAACCATGGGCGTCAACATCCGGAAACCGTCACCATACATTCACCACCCGAGTGGAGGATGTCTCAAGCAGGGACGCACTTCGGAATAGGAGGCCCCCAGATGCATATGGACATGACAGAATCTTTAGCCTTCATCATGCAAGAGTTAAGGGAATTGCGAGAGAAGTATAATGGCATGCCAGGGGTTCCCCGTCCCCTTGACATGGCGGCTCGAACCTGTTATGCGGATTCCCCATTCGGACGACATATAGCAGACGTTGAGATTCCGAGGAAGTTCACAGTCCCATCTATGAAGTTATTTGACGGAACCACAGACCCGGTAGATCACG